ACACACACATACCACACACACACACACACACACACACACACACACACACACACACACACACACACACACACACACACACACACACACACACACACACACACACAGCCAACCAACCTCAAGCAGGAAGCACTTGCAGTGCTCGCCCACAACATCAAAGCGAGCCACACTCGTCATCCTCCTTGTCTTCTTCCTGTTGTCGTCGTTCACAGTGGACGAGGGCAAAATTGACTTTTACGCAAAGGCAAATTTGCCATGCGGGTGGTGTCTGCCCAAGATGCAGACGAAGCGGCGGTGCAGGAGGCAGTGCAACTGCTCAACGCAACATGGCCTCGCAGCGACGGCGCAAGGTGTGTGTGTGTGTGTGTGTGTGTGTGTGTGTGTGTGTGTGTGTGTGTGTGTGTGTGTGTGTGTGTGTGTGTGTGTGTGTGTGTGTGTGTGTGTGTGTGTGTGTGTGTGTGTGTGTGTGTGTGTGTGTGAGCGAGCGAGCTTGTTTGTTGTTTGTATTGTCCCGGTCCTTGTTTGTCGTCTTCTTAGCTGTGTTGTTTCCATCTCCAACACACTCACATACACACACACATACACACACCCTCACATACACACATGCACATACACATACGCGCGAAGGCGATCTGCTCTGCAGCGATCGAAGGAGACACTGCCGTTGAGCCTGCTGCTCGTTGCTGAGGAGAAGGACGCAGAGAGCAATGGACTGCGCCCAGGGCAGGTTGTGGCGCACGCCAAAATCTCCGAAGCCCTGGAAATCCCCACCGCAGTCTTGTTCGAGTCAGGTGCGTGCGTGTGTGTGTGTGTGTGTTTGGTTGCTGCGAAACCTGTTATCCTGTCACACGTGCAGTCTTAACACGTGTGGAAATGGCCTTTCCTTCCCTCTTGCTTCTCGTTTGTCTCATACAACCTGTGCCCCCTCCGTGATGTCCTTCCTTAATTTTGCAGTCATTGTCTGCGAGACACTCCGTGGCATTGGACTCGGACGACAGATCATGTGTGCCGCCGAAGACTTTGCCAGAAGGTGCGCCATGGCGTGGGGTAGCTCTTGTGTGCAACGCACTGTTTCGTGTGACATGTATGAGACACTAAAACACTGAGATCACACCACGACACACATACCCACCCACCCACACACACACACACACAACGGGTAGTCGTGGCTACAAGCATGCGTACTTGTCCACGACGGATAAGCAGGCGTTCTATCAGCATCTGGGCTACACAGAGACAGACGTGTGCGTGTCAGGGTTGACGGACGCCCTCCGCCGTGTTCGCCAGTCCCTCAAACAAACCACCATCGACCCGAGTCAAGATGATCCCCAGACCCAGCACAGCCATGAAGCTCCAGCATCCCCACAACCAGCACACAAACCACCACCACCACCACCACCACCACCACCAAGTGCGCCGCTGGTCCCACCACCACCACTACCACCACCGTCCGTCGCAGACAAGCCGACATGGCTCGTGAAGCGACTGTAACCCTACTCACTACTGAGCCACCAAGCTGCATAGCTGCATAGTTTGCAAACAAGAAGACCCTGTACCGTTGCAACTTGCACCGGGTGCTGCTGGCTGGCACCCCGTCTGCTGTCCCTGTGTTGATGTTCACTTTTGTGTCTGCTGTTGTGACATAGCTAATACACCCCTCGAGTCATCGTATCATCACCACATGCCTTACATGCGTGGCGCACGTTGGAGATGGGCGGTTCAATGTTAAGAAGAACGAACGTAAGGCAGAAGGAGTGAAAGGGACTGAAGGTGGCTCACAGATTGCAGCATGCATCAACAGCAACAAAGCAGCGGGTGTTCTCCTAACTGGCTAACACGGAGAGAAAAAAAGCAGGGCAGTACCACCCCGCCAAACGGTTGAGGCATATGTACACGGGGGCGGGGAGAAGGGGCACAGTCGCGCGCAAGGGCAGCAACGACAGCGGTAGCACGACAGCGACAATGACGAGCAACCAACCAAACAACAACAACAACAACAACAACAACAACAACAACAACAACGACGACGACGACGACATCAACAACAATCAACCACTATTCACGACAGTAATGGCAGCAAGGATATCACATCTGCATGGACACGAGAAAGTCTGCAAACCGCTCCACGTCGCAAACGCAATCGGTTGCCGAGATGGGGTTCTCAAACGTGGCAATGATTACCGCCTTTGTCGTCTTGCAAACAACCGCCCCGCCCGTTCCTGGACCCGAGTTGAACGTGGATGTGGTGGTGAGGCGATGATGAGGGCGACGAAAGTGTTGGGGCGTGAACAGGGATGAACATGAGAATGAGCACGAGAATGAGCACGAGAATGAGCACGAGAATGGAGAGACAAAGAGGAGGGGGCAAGAACAATGCGCGGTAGCAACCATGGAACAAGCCGTGGGACATCGTAACCCGCAGCAATGTGGCCAAACTCACTCGACTTTGCGTAAATGCTGCGGCCGGCATCTGCCCACCAGGAACGCAGGTACAAAGGTGAATAGAAGTGAGGTTGAAATGAGGGGAGGGTTAGAGAAAAATAAAGCGGGGAGGGCACGGGAGTCGCCAAGGGAAGCGACACGCACGCATGCAAAGACACATGTCAGCGCACACACAAACAAACAGACAAACACATACATACATACATGCACACACATACACGTACACACATGCACGTACATACATACATACATACATACATACATACATACATACATACATACATACATACATACATACATACATACATACATACATACATACATACAAACACACAAACACACAAACACACAAACACACACACACCTCTTCGGAGGTACTGGTACTTGGTGGCATGGACGAGGACGCCGTGTTGTGGTAGCAATGCCGCTGCTTGCTCGTTGTCAATGGCGTAGATCAGGCTGCGCACCTCGTCGGGATTCAGGTCAAAGTCTGTGCTGCTCGCCCACTTGTTGCCATCTTGCCCATGTATCGCAACCCTGTGCAAGGAGAATGCAAGAGAAGAAGAAGAGACAGCGGTGTGACTGCATGTCAGCACAAACTGGCTGGCGGTGCGCGTGTGGGGTGCGGGGTGCGGGGTGCGGGTTGCACTGCCATCGCACGTGTGCCGGTCAATGCAACAGAAGAGCACAACCACTGTCACACACACACACACACACACACACACACACAAACACACACACACACACACGTACTTTGTCACGTGGCCGTTTGCTTCCAAGGCTTCGACATGCGATTGCCAGCTCATGATGATTTGGGTGTGGTTTGTTCGTTGGGCGACTCCTCTTCTGGTTCGTGGTGTGGGTTAGGGAAAATTCGATAAAGACATGATACAACTTTCGGACCAAAGTGGACACAGACACACCACTTGCTCGCACGACCATCGTGAACACACCCACAGCTTCAACGCGCCAACGAGACATCTACACGTCTTCAGCCCACTCACTCGCACAGCAAGATGACATGACTCCGCCGCGGCTTGCCCAGACCTTTCGTCACGAGCACTCCGAAAATAGCTTTGGCGTGCTCCAAAGCCCCTTTCTACCGCGTCTTTCTTGCTGTGCTTCTTCGCACCCCTGTTTGTCTTTGCGACGCCCGGTCTCAGAGGCGTGCTCCATGTGACACCACACATTTCTTGTTGTCCCCCAACGGTCCAATGCCCTCCACCATTGGAACTTGGAGGCTTTCCTGCATAGACGGGATCTGAGCTCCCACAGTTGCCATGACGTTGTTGCTTGCGATCGCTTGCTTCGGCTGACACACGAGTTTGGGGTTCTCACTCACGTCATGCCTCAACCTTTTGGGGCCAGCTTGCGCCCTATCAGCACGAGCGACCCGATTTCCCCCGCCTCCCACTTGTCGTTGCCTTGATCAAGGGGCCATTTTTTTCAAGAGCCCAAAGACCTCCTCCCTGCACCTGAGTCACAGCCCCAACCCCAACCACAACTACGAATCAACACCAACACCATCTTCCTCACCAAGCCCATCCAAGCACATCCAGGCCCACACAAGCCCATCCAAGCACATCCAAGTCCATCCAAGCACATCCAGGCCCACGCAAGCCCAGACAGAGCACACAGTGCACCCACGCCATGTCGGCTGAAGAGAAAGCGCGCTTGCTGACGCCGTCGGGCAGCACTTCGCTTCAGGAAACGCAGCCGCGCCAACCATCCGGGCGCAGGCACACGCAAGCGAGTGATGCGGCGAGCTCAGGCATTCACAGCAGTGCCAGTGCGACCCAGTACAGAAGCGTAACTTCGTGGCCTCAGGCCGGGTTCAGCCTCACTGACGACGTGGCCCCAGTTGAACCCCAAGAAGCTGGGTCCACCGTCAACAACACATCGTTCAGTGCACCATCATCACGTGCCGTTGACGGTGCTTACAGGTTTGTTGGGCGGAACCAAGAGCAGCGCCGAACCGTCTGGCAACGCATGGGGCAGCGCGACAACCGTGTAGCAGCCGCACCCAATGAAACCACGTCGCTCCCGCCACAACAACAACAACAACAACAACAACAACAACAACAACAACAACAACAACAGCAGCAGCAGCAGCAGCAGCGCGGTCGGCGCTCCACCGCTCGCTCACAGTCGTACCATGCACGGGGACAGCCGCCGCCTCTGCCTCCAAGACCTTCCAGTGGCTCGTCCATCAGAGCGGCATGGGACGCGCAGCACCAGCAGCCAACGTCGCCCATACCGCCACCGCTGCCGCCGAGACGCGACACCACGAGTGTCAACGTGGAGCGCTCAAACACGTCCCATGCCGTGTATGGCACCTACACGACAGAGAGAATGTACTTGGTGCCGGTTGACCATCAACAGAGACCCGGCTCGTATGTGGATGGTCGAGTTTATGCGGAAGCGGATGACGTTCTCAGCAGCGACAGCAGCCGCAGCAGCCGCAGGACCACCACCACGTCCGCACTTCTGGAACGCGAAAACCACAGCACCAACTCAGCAGTTTCTCGGCGGTCCAGCAAAGTGCCGTGGCTTCGGTGCTGCTTCTCCTGCTGCAGAGACCCGTCTGCGACGTCAGAAGCGACTGTGTGGTCGCTGATTGTTCTTGTCTTGGTGACATTGATCACGACCCTTGTGCTGTTTGTTCCCGACTACGGCAGCAACGTCTTGGTGCCACTCGACTGCCGAAGCAATGTCTCCAACGCATTCATCCTGCAGAAGGGCTTCTCCACTGTGAGCGAGGTCGATGACTGCTGCTGCGACGCGTTTGACCACATTCGCAAGGTGCACGGTCACATCTCGGTGCACTGGGCGACCACCCGTTTCCGCATCCAGTCTGTTGAGCACGTGCGTGGGGACATTGTCGCCTCGCCCGTCTCTGGCCAACTCGTGGAGGTGGATCTTGGGTCCCTCAGAAAGGTGGGAGGAAGCCTGACGTTTGCAGGCAACAACATCAGCAGCGTCAGCTTTGGCAGCCTGACATCGGTTGGCGGTGATCTCGCCATGACCTTCAGCAACCTCACGCGCCTTGATTTCGGACACGTGACCCGCATTGGTGGCGATCTGAAGCTTGCAGGCAACGCGTTGTCTTTTGTCGACCTGTCCACCTTGCGACAGATCTCGGGCGGCCTCTTTCTTGGGTCCAATCCATCCCTTACAACCATCAACTGTCATGGTCTTGGTTCCTGCATCTGTGCTGATGCTGCAGCAAACCTCACCAACTGCCCTCCTCCCTGCGCCTCCTGTTGACTTGGCTCCTCACGCCTTTCCTTGTTTCGTTCATTCCTCATGCCTGCTCCCTTTTCTGACCAATTCCATCCCCACACTTGCCCCAATACCCGCACACAAACACACACCACATACGCACGCGTTCGGCCAAACACAACAGCTTTCGTTCCACACGCTTCCTACCCATTGCTTCCACGTTCTTGTTCTCACTGTTCACTGGTGGATAAACCAACCAACACGAACCAACATGCAAACGAACCATCGAACGAGAGGATCAAACCAGAGATACCAACAAGCAAACGAGCAAGCGATCAAGCAAGCCAACGAAACACGCTGCACACTCTTTCACTCCAGTGGTTAAACCTACTGCCACAACACACCACCACACACACACACACCACCACCACCACACACACACACACACACACACACCCTCTCCCAACACACACACACACACATGCACGAACAGTGACGACATGATTCACTCTTCCAAAGCCTCGATGATGGCCAGTGCCTCTGAGAGAACCTTTTCCTCCATGGCTTTACGCTCGCGCTTCTTTGCCGCCCTCCGCTCAGCCAGCTCCTTCCTCCGCCTCGCTCGCTCATCATCCTCAGCGCCGCCACCGACACCGCTTGTCTCGCTGCCGCTTGTGAGCGATGACGTGGCTGTTGTCGCGGATGTTGCAGCCGACAGGCCCGAGTCTGACATGGCGGGCGTGGTTGCGCTGGCGTCACTGTTTGTCGTCACGATGGCTGTCGTGTCTGTGGTTTCTGTTGCAGCAGCTGCTGCAGACGACGACGATGATGACGACGACGACGAAGAGGAGCAGCCATGGTGGGAAGAGGAGGACGTCGGCTGCTGCTGTGCTGACGTAGATGCTTGTTGTTTTGCAGTGGTCTTGTGATGGCCAGCATTGCCACTGCTACCCTTGCTGGTGATGTTGTGGGAGGCCATTGTGTCTTCCTCACTGTGCATGCTGACAGCATCACTGTTGCCATCACCACCCTCACCACCACCATCACCACCATGATCAGCCCCAGCGGTAGCAGCCGACATGTTGAGTGCCTTCTCCAGCCGCCGGTTTAGCGCTGCGCTCTCGTCGTCCCACGCTGGCGAGGTCTCCTCCTGTACACCACCGCTGTTACCAGCACCACCACGAGCACCACCACGAGCACCATCACCGCCATCGCGCTCCTGCTCCGCTGTGCACTCTGCGATGACCTGCTGCAGTGAGATCATGCCGGTCACCACGGGCTGTTCCCCCGGTAGCTGTGCGGCGGACACGAGGGCGTGGCTGGACCGCCGACGCAGCGACAATCGGCTGCCACTCGCTTTGCTCTTGCTGCTCTTGCTGCTCTTGCTGCCCTTGTTGTCTGCGGGCGAGCTGGTGGTTGAGCGCCGCAGCAGGCGCCACCGCGACCCGCGACTTGGCGACGCGGCCGTGCTGTCGACGGACGCAGATCTGCGCTTGTCCTTGCGCCGGTTCTCGCGCTTGATCTCCATCTGACTGCGCCGAATCTCCCGCTCAACACGCTTTGCCTGCCGCCGCTCCGCCCGCGTCATCTTGGGCGACTTTGGCGGCGTGCCCTGTATCATCGACTCCAGGATCTCGTCCACCAGAATCTCCCCCTGCGACTTGGCGCGTGGCCGCCCGCCGTCCTGTCGCTCCTGCTGTGATGGCGACAGCGGCGATACGTCACGCGCCGAGCGCGCACCGCTGCTGCTGCTGCCGCTGCTTTTGTTGTAGGCGTGGTCGTCGCAGCTGTTGGAGTCATTGGCTCTGCTGCCACCATGTGCACTGTTGCCGTCAGCGTCAGCGTCACCATCGCCCCTACCGCTGTGCTGTTTCGTGAGCTTGGCAAGCTTGTGCTGTTGTCGGCGGAGGTGGAACGAGCGAAGCCGCCACGAGGAGGATCTGCGTCGTCGCTGCTGTTGCTTCTCCTCCCTGTCACCTTCGCCATCATCACCACCGTCATAGTGACCATCCCCAACACCAGCACCACCACGGCGGCTCTTCATGAGCTTGTGCTGTTTCTTCTCTGCCTTCTTTCGCTGCTTCTCCTCTTCCTTGCGTCTCTTCTTCTCCTCCTTCTCCGCCGCCTTTCGCTCCTTGCGTGCGCGCCGTGCTGAGCGGCTCCGCGCACGCGATGCACTGGACGTGCGCGTGCGCGTGCGTGAGCGACTGCGCCCCCGCCGCTGCACGATGGCGTCCGCCTCATCGTAGTCGTGGGTGTGGTGGTGGTCATTGTCGTCGTGGTGGTGCAGCGCGTCATCGTCTGCAAACGGGTCGTTGTCGTACATGGAGCGGCTGCTCTTGCGGTGCTGTTGCTTCTGTTTGGTCTTGAGCGGAGTGTCGGGGCACGACTTGCTGCCACGGCGCTGCCTGCTGCCTGCTGCCGTTCCTGGCTCGAGGAGCGACGCGTTGTGGTCGTGGTGGCTGTCGTCGTCGCCGCCGATGTCAGCAGGGGTGTGTGTGTTGCGGCTGCGCCGCGAGAAGAAGAACCAGCTGCGCTTCCGGCGCGGCTTTGAGGGGGACTTGGTGGCTGGTGTTGAGGGCGACGCAGGTGGCGAGGGCGTCACCGCCGTTGCCGCTGTCCTGTGTCCGCGCTGACGGGGATGGCGCTCGCCAACAACACCATCATCGTCATCATCGTCGCCACCGCGCAGGCTCTGCCACTCCGTCTCGTCGTCCATGAAGCACACCTCTGGCAGCGCGGGCAGGTGCGGGTCCTCCTCGTATGCGGCTGCGAGCGTGTTGTCGCTTGCGATGGAGACGGTACTCCAGTCATCGCCACTGCGCGGCTGGTGGCTGCCGCGACGAAGACGCGCCTCCGAGTGCCGTGTGCGTGTGTTCGCGTGGCCGTCACTGTACCGGCGGCTGTCACGGCTGGACCGCCGACCGGCCTTCACTGCTGCTGCTGCCGCCGCTGTTCTCGCTGCTGCTGCTGTTGCTGCTGCTGATCGTGCGTCGTCGGTGTCGCTGTCCGCTGCGACGGCGTCGGCGAGAAGATGGGTGGACGGGCGGCGCTCAATGGCCATGGCCAGCGCGCGTGCCAGTTGCTTGTTATCTGCCACGGTGTCTGCCAACTCCTTCTCCATTTCGCGCGTCTTTACGCATTGTTCCCGCAGCTCGCGCTGTGCTGTTGCATAGAGCCCTTGCAGCTCTTCCAGCTGCTCCCTGATTGTGGCCAGCTCTTCCTGCAACTGCACATGCTGCGATTGCTCTTGTTGTGGCTGTTGTTGTTGTTGGTAGTGTTGGTGTTGTTGTTGTGGTGATTGTTGTGGCTGTTGTTGCGGTTGTTGTTGGTGAGGTTCTTCTTGTTGGGCAAGCTGCGCTTCGCTACCCGCTTCTTGTGTTGGTGCGTCCTTGGCAGCTGCGTCAGCTGCCTTTGTCTTTGCCGGGGTGGAGGTGATGAGCGTGAGCTGCACATCCTCTGTCTTTGCATCTGAGGGTGCCTCGTCAGTGGCATTTGTGAGACCAAAGTCGAGTGTCCTCATGGCCACCGGTTTCGCCGCGACGGGTGGTGGTGGTGACGCGCGGTTGTTGATGCCACGCGTGCTGTTCTGTGCAAACGTGGACCGACCAAACCCACCAATGGGGCCACTACCGCGCACGCCGCCTTCATCATCGCCGTCTTCGCCTCGCGTCACCTGCCGGTTGTGGCGCTCCAGTCGCTGGATGGTCTCCGCCACAGACATCCTTCTGCGCTGTGTGTGTGTGTGTGTGTGTGTCTGTCTCTGTGTGTGTGTTTGGCTAAGTTTGCGTGTCCTTGTTTGCTGTTTGCTTGCTTGTCGATCAAAAGGTGGTTGCTGTGTGGGAGGCCTGGTTGTTGTTGAATGGCTCTCCGTGTGTGCGTGCTTGTGCGTGTGTGCTGTTGTTGATATGGGTTGCTTGTGCTCGTGCTTGGGTGGGGGAGGGAGAATGTGTGCGATGTATGGGATGCTGCTGTGGCAGTGGGTTCTGGTTGGCGCCTGTTGTGGCGCGCCGCTGTTGCTGTTGGCATTTCGGGCATGCCTGCAGGCAATTCCTGACGAAACGAGTCACCGAAGTGGGAGTACCGAAAATTGTTTATGTACCGAGACGAATATGGAAATGCAGAAAAGAAAGGAAAGTGTGTGTGTATGTATGTGTGTGTGTGTGTGTGTGTGTGTGTGTGTGTGTGTGTGTGTGTGTGTGTGTGTGTGTGGATGCAGTGGATATGGACGTGCATGTGCGCGCGTCCTGTTCGTTTGTTCGTTTGTTCGTTTGCTCTTATCGGTACTCGATGAGCTCTTGTTGGGCGACGCAGCGAATCGTGTGAAAGTCAATGTTGGAGAACCTGTTGTTGTTGTTGTTGGTTGTTGTTCGTGGTGAATGGATGGACGATAGTGAGTGGGACGCGAATGCGCAAGCAAACACACATACACACAGACACACACACAAAAACAGAAAAACACACACGTACACAGAGACAGACACACAGACACACACACACACACTCTCTCTCCTGTCTACTCGTCTCTCCAGTCACAGGATCGATACGTACGTGCGCCAGAGTCGGGTGCGGCCCCACTCCACGGCAGGGAACGCGGGGCTCGAGAGGCCGTGGCACATGCGCGCAAGCGCTCGCGCAGTGAGGCGCTGCAAAGTGTGTGCGTTGCGCCAGAATGCGGCGTGTGAGACAGAGGGTGTGTGCACAAGCGAAGCAAGGTGACAGTGAAGAAACACACACATACACACACACACGCAGACACAGACCCAAGCATACCCCCCCCCCCCACACACACATAGTTTCCTCTTACGCGGTCGCGGTGCGTGGTGATAAAGTCCCTGAGCATTCGGCGCAGCTGTCCGTATTCGAGGTTGGACACGCGAATGTTCTGCGGATACGCGGGCAGCGCAATCTCCTCCTGCTCAAAGTACTCGTGCAGGCGCTCCTTCAACAAGCGGCTCTGAGCAGCGTGCACCGTCTCGTCCTCTGTTTGAGGGGCGGGGAGAAAAGTGGGATTGGAAGTGGGTGGCAGGGACAAAGAAGAGGGATATGAGAGATGCTGATGGATGCACTAATTGACACACACACACACAACACAAATCACTCATGTACATAAACACACACACACACACACACACACACACACACACACACACACACACACACACACACACACCTGCGATGGACTGCGGGGTGATGGCCGCTGCATCCTTGACCATGCTGACCATGGCATCGAGTTTGCTGGAAGCAGACATCTCCAGCTCGTGCATCTGCCGCACAAGCAGCGCATACACCTCGTCCACCTGTGGTGCAGTGGTGATGGAGCAGAGACTATTGGTGTGAGAAGATGGGGGGGGGGGTTCGCACAGAGACAGAGGGATAGACAGACAGGCAGACAAGTCGACAAGTAGTCACACACAAAGCACATACAAACAAACACACAAAGACGCGCGCACACACACACACAATACGCAAGCGTATGCGCACCTCTGCTGGCTGGACGCTGCGGGTACGCGAGAACGCGAGCGCGTGCCCGTGTTCCTCAAAGTACACCTTCTCAGATGACTGCATCGGTGTGTGTGTGTGTGTGTGTGTACATGTGTGTGCATATGTGATGGTGTGAGGGTTTTGTGGACGTCACCGTAAACGTGGGCAACGCACAACTCGCACGCGGACAATGCAAGGGCGTGCAATCATACACGCAAGCAAGAAGCACGCCACATCCAACGCAACCACCCTCTTTAACTAATTACCTTCATGGTGTAGAGGGACTTGATGATATCTGTGGGCGGAGTTGCGAGTGCAGACGCCACGCAGCACAGCCCAGCGCAATCAATCTCCACCTCGCCTGCAGGGGCAATTTCGATGTGGGCGGGTGTGTGAGTGTGAGTGTGAGTGTGAGTGTGAGTGTGAGTGAGTGTGTGTGTGTGGGTGTGAGTGTGAGTGTGAGTGTGAGTGTGAGTGTGAGTGTGAGTGTGAGTGAGTGAGTGTGTGTGGGTGTGTTGTTGGAAATGGAAGACTGGGAGGGAAGCGAAGGGGAAGAAAGGGCAGCAGGCATAGAGACAAGCATGGACACACACACACACACACACACACACACACACACACACACACACACACACACACACACACACACACACACACACACACACACACACACGCACACACACACACACACACGCACACACACACACGCACACACACACACGCACACACACACAGATACACACAGCCATGCCTACTGACCCTTCTTCTTTGATGCTGCGGGTCTGCTGACGGCGATGAGGGCGGCGAGGAGCGGATCGCGCCGCGCAAATGTCGAATCGCGCACATTCAGCACAAGCAGCGCCTGCAGTAGTGGTGGTGGTGGTGGTGGTGATGGTGGATGTGGACGTGATCAGTGGTGTTGTGAATGATGAATCAAGACGCAAATAGCGTGTGTACATGGGAGCTCAGCTTGCGACGTGCTAAAGCAAGCGACAAGCACAAAGTTCAACAGGTTGCAACGACGTACGGCGATGCGGGGCAGGAGTTGTAAGGTCTCTGGAAAGTGCTGCTGCCACGTGGACACCATCGTCACCAGCACGGACTGCAAGTGGTGGGGATGGAGGAATGGGCAGAAGGTGAGGACGCGAAGGAAAAATGCAGGTGCATGTGTAATGGAGGAGAAATGTGGTTACGCGTGGGCGGTCGCGTGAGACGGGTTATCGGCGGAAACAGGACATGCACACCACGCGGCTTCACACACAACAGAACACAACACAACACAGCACAACACAACACAACACAACACAACACAACACACACACACACACACACACACACACACACCAACCTCCTTCATGTCGAGGTCCTCGCATGTGGTGCCGAGATCAACAGAAATGTACGTTGCGCCGCTGTTTCCAGCCCGCAGCAGATGCTGCCCACTCGCACCCGTCCCCGCAACGCACTCAACCACACTCGCCGTCATGTCCTGAGGGATTGTGGGGTGTACATGTGTGAGGATGGCGCTGAGGTGGCTGTTCACGCGTTCATGCTGCAGTGCGTGATGTGCTCCACGCGACACCAACGTACGCAAACAAGCATCGTTGTCACGATACTCAAACACTGCCGTCACTGTCATCTCCACCACCATCACCACCGCTGCCACTGTGACCACGACCTCACCTCGAGCTCGTTTGCGTCGAGAAGCGAGAGCTGGCGCACGAGGCGCTGCACCGAAATCTGTTGGTGGTGGCAATGCATGGTGATGATACATGGTGTGACGTTTGTGTGGGTGGCGAGCGCCAACAGCACAAGGAAAAGGGCACAGGCCGAAAGTAACAGCAAGTGCAGGAAAGACGTGAACGCACACCACAATTATATTGCACCTCCTCACACACCCACACACACCCACACACACCCACACACACACACACACACACACACACACACACACACACACACACACACACACACACACACACACACACACACAATTATATCGTATCTCCTCGCACGTGTCGCCGTGCGCGTGACCGCGGAGGAGATAAGTGTCGCCCTCCTCCACAAACAGATGAGAGCACGCTGGTCTCCCGTCCTGTGGTTGATTGTGGTATGAAGGGAGGCGGGGGTTGAGTGGTGAAATCGAGAGGGCTAACAATGCCGTCCCTGCTGACGACAGACAGACAGACAGACACACACACACACGC